AGGTATGATGTGCTGAACAGTGCAGATAGACACAATTTCGTCCTCAGTTGGGGTTCGGTTGGGAGCATGTAGTGCCAACTTGAATTTTGCTTTATATAGCTTCCATCTAGATCTTAAATTATCATAATTATAATTCAGAAGCAAGGACACTCATCCCTTGATTTTCTCAGGTCAAGGGAGACCCTGTCCTACCATCAGGAATTGTTTAATATTCACCATTTTACCTTATTTCATTCTTTTATCTTTTCTAGTCAATTTTAGGCACTATTCCTATCGTGGAAAGGCTTATTTCTATTGGGTTTCTTACTGAGAGATAGTCAATTTGATTGTTCCTCCGATTCATCTTTTGGTTATGGGGTTGAATCAGGAAACTCCAAAGGAATAGATATGTCTCATCCACCAGAGATTGAATCCTAAATGAGATGGTTTGAATTCAACTATGTGTAGGTCGAGGGATCAGCATACACGTGTCTTGTGAAGGTATTGATAGTCAGACAATAAAGCCGTATCAAGTTGAATGGCGTTTATGGGACCAGCTGGACTTTATTTCTTGGTGAAGATCTGTGCAACATGTCTTTCCGGCAATTCCAGGTCGGCGAGAAAATGGATAGCAACTCACTAACCGACCCTTACATAAATTACATAAATTATCTACCCTCGTAAACGAGCGTCCGCTACCTATTTGTAGTATACCGCCCATACGCAATTTTACCTTTTGCTAGACAGACCATACAAAAGGTACAACATAAATGCTGGTTTTTCTCGACTAAATTATATGAAGACTTTCTATCACAAGTGTACAACTAGTTAATTTTCTAATGCTATACCAACGAATGCTTTTATAGAATGTAAAGGCATTCTGGGTTGCCTTTACAGTTAAATAGAGCAGATTGTTATATACCCTAGGTTGTAATAAATTCAAAGACTTTTCATAGTACTAAAAGTCACTATTTATATATGTATATACCTTTTGTATGGTCTGTCTAGCAAAAGGTAAAATTGCGTATGGGCGGTATACTACAAATAGGTAGCGGACGCTCGTTTACGAGGGTCGGTAATTTATGTAATAAATGCAAGGGCTGGTTAATCTACTAGAATCACCTAAATAATTGAACATATCTTCCTATGCGACGCAAGAATGGATAGGCACACACAAAAAAATAATCTTGGAAGCAAAGGGGGGCTACACATTGGATAATCTCTATTGTCTCGTCTTTATGCATCACATTATTCTGCTATACTACTGATCTTAGACGAATATACCTGACAGGAGCTGCACCTGCCGATTACGGAGGACCGTAATATCGTCGTGCTCTAGATACAAAAGGGATATATGGACTATATAGATAGATGATAGTCTAATGTAGTCTTTGCTAATAAAAGTTGTCGCCCCTGTGCCCTATTACAGTATACTGCATTGATTATACCATTATCTATTCACCCAAAGGTCCGGGAAACCTGCACGAGGGGTCTATAAGATTTATTGGTGACTAAAGTAGAGAGACTACGAAGATGGCAAACTAAGTAGGATGGCTAATGAATAATATTGTGTTGCGATCTATTAGAACCACCTAGCAGGATTTATGAAATATTCTCTGTGCCCGAGCAAATGGCCATAGAGGTTAGTTCCTTTACTAGGCTTGATTGGTTTACCGAAGCATTCAAGTTGTTAGAGAATTCTTAGGAAGGGCATGAAGGGGCAAAGTATGTGAACACAAGATGAATGAGGAAATTCCGCTCCCACCTCTCGAGAATTCTACCTCCAACAGGGATACCACGGTGGAAATGATTAGTCTGTCGCACAACCCGGGTCTGAATCGAGATATCCAACTCGGATCCGGACTCAACCCAGGACCTAGGCTGGGCTGGGGCCCCATTGAAACCCCAACTTTGCACAAAACCAAACTCTTGGCGTTCAAAAGCTGCTAAATAATAATATCATTCTCATAAACCTGGCCGGCATCCCCTTCCTATCTGCCCACCGTTAGAGGTTTATTTGGATGGTGGCCTACATTCGGACGCGTAAACCACTCGACACGAGCCCGAGCTCAATCACCGTACAACGGCACCATTGGCTTATTCTCTAATGCGTACTGTACTGCTTTCCTCAAAAATCGACAATATCTAACCCATTGTGGACCTGATAAGCATATAGATGTCTCGGAAAGCTGCCCTCCTTCTATCAGCAAGTAGGCGCTATAAAAGTCGAGAAAGCTAGAATATAGGATCAATTCTATGTAACAGATCCATTTAGTTCGTTATAAAAGAAATTATAAAGGAAATTGACAGAGTTCAAATTTCAAAGACTTCAATCAGAACCTCCCGTGGCAGTGAAACCCAGGAACAATATTTGTGAGTGGGCAGTAAAGTCTCAAAGGTATGGGGCGTTTAGCGTTAGGGGCTGGCAAAAGTACTCGAAAAGGCACCAGTTCCCCGCGAGGTGAGGTGGCCAGACAGGTTTCATGGGTTTTATCTCCAGAACATCGGTTCATGAAGATATTTCTGACATCCTATTCTCATATCGAAATCAGGAATACCAAAATGTTCGCATCACAGACAAATAGGATCAGAAAATGACACCGAACTAAATTGCCTTCCCAAGAACCAGGCCCATGAGCTCGTCGATGAGCTCACGGCCAAGGTCAAGACATTAGAGCGGGAGAATTTGTCCAAAGAGCGAGAGTTCATTACTCAATCACCGTAACCAGATTCTAGAGGAAGAGGTTGAGAAAGCGGAGGCCGCCCTTAAGGAGGCTAAGGATGCTGCTAGCCAGAGCCTTCAGCACGACACCCAGAACGAGGTTCTTGAACTGCTTCTGCTCAATAGAGCTTTGACTTGACTCGATAGCCATCCCTAGCCCCATGGTCTCAACTAAGCTCATGGATAACCCGTCCATTTCCCTTTGACTTGGCATCCATGGACCCAATCTCATGTATAGCATTGTGCTCCGACGACATCTCCAAAGCCTGCCACGCTAAATCACCATCCTGTATTGCAGGCTGCGTTTGTGGGGGTATATACATGGGCGGCGACGAGGCGTGCTCGATATCGACCACCGGGGTCTTAGCACCGCCGCAGCAACCCACGATTCTCTTGCGAAAGATGATGAGCAACACGATAGCGACGGCCGCGAAGGACACGACTACTATTCCAGTTATTGCGCCGCCTGATAGGTGGTAGGTTTTGTCTGTTGCTGTGTCTGGGCTGGAGCGTGGAGTGTGATGGATTTGTGTTCCAACTAACGATTAAAAGTATTGTTAGCAGTTGTTACGAGACACCTGGATGATTCGGCTATTCGTGGGGAGGTTGGTTCTGCCGAGAAGTTGCGTACTAGGTAAGTGGGTTATAGCGGTCGTCGTCGTCATGATGAATGTGTGGAATAGTGTTATTGTTCGAGTTATTAAGACTTGGACAGTTTACACTTAATATCCACAGTGGCAGCCAAGAATCCTAAAGACAGTTACAGCTCGGGTCGGAGATAGTATTAGGGGCTGAGGGTCGAATATGTCAAACCACTTAGGGTCTCTATGGGAGTGGGGCCTCATGGGTATAAGGCGTGCTAATGACTGTGGCAGCCCGTCCACGGTGGGGTTTGGGCCGCCTATTTTCTCAAACTAGCCGCCAGTCTGACCAATCTGGAGGTACAGTGCATCGCTTTCTCTACCCATGAATGATGGAGCCGCCGAGAAGTAGACTGGAGCATTGTAGAGGTGGTTTAGTAGTATCAAGGGACAAGAAATAGGAGCCAAGCGGTGTTTCTTGCCCCTTGCTTTCTCCTGATAAATATCGGGTTAGTAGGGTTTGCGTTCGATCTAATTATCTCCGATCCGACGATTGTGGCTTATACGGTAAGATATATGATATGCCAATTAAACACGAGTCAATGATTGGTTACTTGTTCGCTGCATGGGTCGGAGTTATACTGAGCTTGGCAGGTCTTTAATGGTTTAGACTTTCATTGAGTCTAGTATAAATACAGCCGGTTTTATCCATCGAACAAGACTCTTGGACACCACTTATTCATTTGGAAAATTAAATAAATCTTTAGCTGCCAAGGAGTATAATACCACTGTTTAAATTCTCCCGAATGTGGATAGTCCTGCCCATGGTGATCTATAACTAGTATATTAACCATCTAAGGGACGGCATCCTGTTCAGCAGGTTTTGTGAATGTTATTTTTAACTCGGGATTAAAACCGTCTCAATTCTCCCAGCTGTCTGGTGCTTCTAATTGGATCACCTTCGGCCTTGGCAATAACACTGTGCAAATCCTAATGATGGCTTTTCAGTCCGATGTGAATACGGCCATCTCGATTGTTAATATTGCACCTGCCGTGGCCAATCAATCTAGCGACTGGCTTTCTCAATTCTACACAGCCTATATTTGCCAGGATTTCTTCACTACATAAAGTTTCCATATATATCGACCAACTATTGAAGCAACCCAAGATGAAATAAATGATTTTCGCAATATGTATAACAATAAGCCTTTGTGAGTTACCGAGGTCGCGCCGGGAAATGCGAACCCGCCTTGTTCTTTCAGCTGGAACCAATCGATCGGGTGCATGCAACAGATCTATTCCGGGGGCGAGGCAACTGAATTCATATTTAGGTTATGAGTGTTAGCAATATATCTTTAAACAGACTGAAACTACTTGGTCAAGTACTAACCTAGGATTTAGATGGCATCGGACCCCTCCTGTTCTCCTCTTCTCTCCGCTGAGTGATATTCCGCATATCGACCGGAACCCTGTATACATCATCACAATTGCCATCTTCATTGTCCTGTCGGTCATAGCCGCGATATGCAAAAGGTATGCGGGGTTCCTCGTCGTGCGCTTCCTGCAAGGCGGTCTTTTTTTTCCAGACGACGCTCTTTCTCTGTCAACTGCAATTTGCTCGGTTCCTTAGCTCTTTCCTAAAATCGTCGTTAGGAAAACAAAACAAGATCGTAGGTGCGCAGAATATTAAACCCTGTAAACGACCAATTTTCTTCAAAATGACAGCCGCAAAAAGCCCCAAGTCTGTCGTGGAGTTTCTGCACGAAATTCTTGTGGCCCCCGGTTGGAATGACAGGATCTGGCAAGCTGCCTTTTGTTTGGCGTTTTTGTTCTGTTGGAGCATGACTACTGTGCTTGCAGAGCTGACCCAGGCTTGGACTCTTAGGTAAAGTACTCCTATTGCTCTCGAGATGGCTGTTTCAAGTCTACATATGCATAATTATTGACTGTCTACAGATTTTTAAGCCTGCACGCCCCTTTGAACCCCCCCCCCCTTCAACCTCACCAGCTCCACCAGCCCTACCAGCCCCAGAGTGCTCCGAGATCCTTGTTGTGGCAGACATACCCCCAGTACCCCCAATACCTCACAGGCGCCGCCCCTCAGGCGTCTGGCCGCACCTCTGGCCACCTCCACCTACGCCACTCTCGCAGTACTATGCAGAGTCGGCCGCCACAACAGGTCACACCCGATAATCATTTCGACAGCCTGCCTCAGATGGAGCGAGGATAAGACCGCATTGTAAGTAAAGACTACACTTAAGCATTAACATGATGCAGATATAAAAGCCATTTACTTGCTTATATAAAAGATACATACCAAGGCCCGAACACGGTGAAATTCTTTATCTGCACTTGCCTGTCATTGAAAAGGACGAACATGGTATCTAGGCAGAGTTCGACGAGAGAATGATGCCGGAAGCTGGCAGTGCCAAGAGCCGGTTCTTTTACTTTACTTTTTTCTAACTTTTTGTCACTTTTGTGGCCTTTTTCTCTCTTACCCTTACTTGAATGCAGTATCTATAGCCTTCACTAGGGCTCGTCTTTGACAATATTGTCACATTTTGCTTGCTTCCCGTATCACGGTAGCTCCCTCTCTCCTTTGATGAGAAAAAAAGACAAGGAACCTTGGTAGTATTCACGTCATGCATTCTGATGTGTCTGTTTCTTGTCACTTCTGATAAATAGGTTCACGTGTGTGCCACTCAAAGTTTTATCTTGATGTTGCAGAAGCCTATGTTGCCCGCCACTGGCTTTCAATTTAGCATACGCGTCATCTTGACGATTGCTCTCAACGGGTGATAGATCAGGATAATGACTAGCTGACCTTTTTTGGAGGCGGAACTTTGGCGTTTAGGTTTTTTGCTTTATGAAACTGACATTCCTGGCATTGTCCCCACGGTAAATACGAGGACTCAGCAGATCATCTTTTCGATTCCATATCAACTCCAATCCCGAGGTCCTATACCAGACCCAATATTCTTAAATAAAACGATATTTGAAGATGAGCTATTCCATATGGGGGGACAAACCCGATGAAGAGTTTGAGCTAGAAAATTCTGGAGATATATGTCTTCTCCAAAGATACCGATACGCTAGCTTCGCCGACAAAGCAAACACATGTCAATACCCCACCGATCCAAAGGAGTTATTGCAGACAGAGGTTGCACTTCGGGAGAATACTCAACTTGAGATAGCCTTGAATGGGAAAATAGAGGAACTTGCCAAGGAAGGTATCAGCGGGGCTGTTGTTCAAGATTTACAGGAGGACTTGTCGACACTTTCGAAGGAATATTGGACCTTGGAACGACGTTGGTGGGAAATAAGGTCTTCATTTGAGGACAGCCCGCTGACCAGAGGTATTGATTACTGGCGTTCCCAGCCAAAATGGTACATGCATCAAGTACTTTGGGAAGATTGCGTTGGGAGAGGAGGCTGTTGTGGCAGGGACTGTGGATGCTGTTCTCATCGCCAGTCAGAACGAAAATTTGCAGTTGGTCATTGCACTGTGGAGTGTTCTTGTTGCGAGAAAGCTCGGGGGTTTGCACTCGACCTCGAGCAAAAATCCCAAATACAGGATTCCTTCAAGCTTGATTACAATGGTCCACGTACATGGTATTACATTCGAATAGAAGCCGCTGCTCTGCTAGGCTTGATGGCAGGCAGTTACAAAAACCCTTTGGATCTCATCGTTGATCTGCCGCCAAGATATATACCTCTCTTTGAGGAACCACGAGGGAGCAATTAGAAGAACCATGAGCAAGGATCTTCCTGCTGACGTTTTCCAAGAGTAAGAGCCGGTCAATTGTTTCAGAAAGTTATATTTGTTGTTGCTCTGTTCCCGCTTTGTGTCGCCATTATCATTTGTTAGCTTACGATCCATGGATACAGAGATACTAAGAAGCAATGGAGGAAGATGGAGAAAGTGGAACTGGAAGGTTGAAGAGATATTTACCTGTCATCATTGCTCTACCTAGCTAGCTTTGCTTGTATTGGAAAGTATAGCCACCCAATCCGATTTGACACTTCCTTCGCTGCCGTACGTGTCTCCCACATAGTTCTCCAAGGCCACACGATCCTTATTTAAGTGTGTATCCTGTTGTTCCTCGGTGCGTAGGATGCTCACCTAGGGTGTAAAGTTATTGCCACTATCACCCCAATTTTTCCTACCCAGGCTAATGGGGTTTCATCGCTCCTTCACAGGGAAAGGCATATCGAATGAATGATCGAGTAGATGTATGGCTTAAGTACGGCTGAGCGGACGGGAAGCCCTGTTTTCCACTCCCTATGGTCGTATATTTCATCCTACAAGTGGGAGGGAATTATCCATAGAATAAATATTTATAATCAATCGGCAAGGAATGGGCGTTTTGACTTAGCTTTGCGCGACTTAGTGCGCTACAGACAGGGTGAGAACTAAGGTGAGAATTCCCCTGGATCGCACGTCCACCAGCCACACTATCACCCGTGTGAGGTCTTGGACTCCATGTTAGAGGCCAAAACCCGATTCCTAGCTGAAGATACAGTCTACAAGCGAACACACTCACGACTTGTACCGATTCGAAAGGTGGAATCTAGGCACTGAGAAATCCGACGTATCGGTGTCATCGCCAACATGTACCGTGCGTGTATGTGTATATAGAGTAGGCCATCTCATAGCCTTGACCATCTCATAGCCTTGAAAATCATAGGTATGGATCATATAATCCACGTTGGCAACCTAGAAAAGGATTGTGACAGAACTCTGGCTGTACGAAAAGCATGGTAAAATTCAGTATGGAACTCTCTTGACTAGCAATAAAACAGGACAAAACGTGCGACATTAAACCTTATACGCTGGCTCGACCGACCTTCCATCGACCTTGTTAATATTCAGTTTCCCAATATCAATGTCATGTAGTAGTCGGACCTAATAAACTTAATATTTGCAATACCACATTGGTTATTCGACCTACATTGACGGCAGAGATCGGTGGTGCTCCCTCTTCCAGAATACGGATGAAGCAACTACTTCCGCACTGCCCGCAGAATTGGTGCTTCGACTTGTGCCCGGCAAAGAGATAATCTTTAAGCGTATTGCCTTGTTCGATGGTAAAATCCTTGTTGAATGGGTAGACGAGCAAGTAGCCATTCTTTGTGCAGATGGAACAGTTGCAGTTATTAGTGGGATATTCATACAGAGGCGGGGATAATGTGAAGTTGAACCGCACAGCACCGCAATGGCACTTGCCGGAGTGAGAGCTGCTCTCGCCGGTAGGGGTGGGTGGGAATGACATATTAGAAGTTGATGTTCTTTCTGGGAGTTGACTGGCTTTTTAACAGCCTACGGATAATACAAAGAGATACTTCCAGGGGGATTTCTCCGCACTTAATCGTACACCTCTTAACCCGATATTAATATTAAATTGTTTTTCGGGTATTCTAGGAAGTTTTCACGGAATTCGGAGTTCAAAGTACGGAGTTCTGCTTGCAATCTTATTGTCTACGAGACCCCCGCTTCTACTTATATCAGATTTCGAGATATATGGATGTATACACGTGTGCAAATAACATTGAAATCACTCAAGTCTTCAATACCACTCCGGTAACAGAAGCCTAAATCGGTCAACTTCAGATACCCGGCACTGACGAGCGCAAGTCAAAGGTGTCGTATGTAGGACCTAATGGTATGACCAAGTGGAAAAAGACCCAGTCACCCGACTTACTAGGATGCCCGGGGCGGATACAGTCAATATACACCATCACACATGTGTAAGCCAACTCTTTTCATGGTTTCTGCAGGCATCTCGCAGGGGCAACCACCATTCCGCTTGCTACCATAACAGCGTAGCTCGCCTTGTTAGGGACAGTTTGAACGTCGCTCAAAAATTTAACACACTAGTGCTGGTGCATTGGTATAAGGTGACAGTTGTGAATGCTACTTTTGCTAGAGAATGCGTTGTTCTAGTTCTATAACATCAACGGGCTGATCGAGAATCGTCCGTAGTTGGAGGAATGTCAGGTCAAGACAAACAAGGCTAAAGTCTTCCTTGAATTAGATAATGTCAAGAATTCCAGGAGTACGTAGATAGTAAAATCTCCTATAAAATTGTGTAAATGGAACATATTAGAATGCAAAAATGCAAAAATAGTCACAATTTTATAGACAGAATAGAATCAACATCAAATCCCAGGCACGATAAAGGATCTAATCGGATGATTCAGCGTGCGGGCCGACCCCGGGGGAGAAAAAAGGTTGCAAGGAGTCATCGCTCTCCTCCACAATTTCACCCCAATTATTCAGGGACTTATTTAGGGGGACTCTCCTGTTCAGTCTTTCTTTCTACTCTTTCTTTCTACTACTGCTATACTACAGTTACCCCCATCATGGCGACACCCTTCCTCATCTCCCACCCCTCCTCCCCCACCTCCGGCTCCGGACTTTCGCTCAAGCAGATCGCCTACTTCGGCCGGGTACTGATCAAGGTCTCGAGTCTCGCCCAGGCCGAGCAATTCCTGCGCGAGAACTTCCGCACTCTCGATGTCTTCGTCGATGCAACGGAAATCTCCTCTGCCGGCGATCTCGTCGATATCCTCAACGCCGGTGCCGCCAAGATCTTGATCAACTTGGACCAATTGACCACCCTCTCCGAAGAACAATCCGTGCCCTCGTCCCGTCTGCTCGTCAACGCCCTGTCAGACACTGAATTGGATACTTTCCAGCAATGGATTGCCGTCAATGCCGAGCGCAATGAAGCCAGTGTCTGCACTGTACCTTCCACCGTCCCCGCCGCCGCCGAAAAGTTGAAGATTAGCTCGGACTCCCCACGACTCTTCACCACCTTTGGTACTCAGACAGTATCGGAGGATGCCATTACACAGGTCACAAAGCAGGGTGCGATTGCTATCATTCCCTCACAGGCTTTGACCGTTGAGCGGGATGTGGCTGGCCACATCTCTGCCGCTAAGCTTATTGCGTCGACCGCTGTGACTGACCAGGCTAATGGCCTGTATGCCACTTCTGTCACTGATGAGCGCGGAGCTTGTTTGGGCTTTGTTTGGAGCAGCGACGAGAGCATTATCGAGGCCTTGCGTACTGGCACCGGTGTTTACCAAAGCCGGAAGCGTGGTCTGTGGTACAAGGGCCAGTCCAGCGGGGATGTGCAGGAGTTGATCCGCATTGGCTTCGACTGTGATTCCGACTGTTTGGTCTTTGTTGTCAAGCAAACTGGACGTGGTAAGAACCAGCTATCTACATTGATGGAAGATGTCTGTATACTGACCACGGTGACTCATTAGGATTCTGCCACCTTGGTACTGAAACCTGCTTCGGCCCATCTACTGGTCTGTCTCGTCTCCAAAAGACTCTGGACGCCCGCAAGGCGGATGCTCCCGCAGGATCATACACCGCGCGTTTGTTCAATGAGCCTAAGCTCATCGATGCTAAGATCATGGAGGAGGCTGATGAGTTGTGCCGTGCGGACACCAAGGAGGAGATTGCTTTCGAGGCCGCCGACCTGTTGTACTTTGCCTTGACCAAGTGCACTGCCGCCGGTGTTAGCCTACAGGATATCGAGCGAAACCTTGACCTCAAGAGCTTAAAGGTGAAGCGGAGAAAGGGCGATGCTAAGGGACCTTGGGCTGAGAAGGCCGGCCTGGCCAAGCCTGAGTCGAAGCCTGCCCCTGCCCCTGCCCCCGCCCCTGTCGAGGATCGCACATCTCGAATTGAGATGAAGCGTGTGATCACTGCCTCTACTACTCCCCAGGTAGTCACCGATTACCTCAAGCGTCCTTCCCAGAAATCCAACGAAGCCATTGTCAACCTGGTCAAGCCAATCATCCAGGATGTCCGCGATGGCGGCGACGCTGCAGTGCTCAAATACACCCACAAGTTCGAGAATGCTACATCACTCACCTCCCCCGTTATCCACGCACCCTTCCCCGCTGAACTCATGAAGCTGTCCCCTGATGTCCAGGAGGCAATTGATATCAGCATTGGCAACATCGACCGCTTCCACTCCGCACAGATGGGAAGCAATGAAGCCCTCGAGATGGAGACCATGCCCGGTGTCGTCTGCTCTCGCTTCTCCCGCCCTATCGAGCGTGTCGGTTTGTACATCCCTGGTGGCACCGCTGTACTGCCCTCCACTGCCATGATGCTGGGTGTTCCCGCCATGGTGGCAGGCTGCAAGAAGATCGTCCTGGCCTCGCCTCCTCGCTCCGATGGCAGCATCTCCCCTGAAATCGTCTATGTCGCCCACAAGGTCGGTGCTGAGAGCATTGTCTTGGCTGGCGGTGCCCAGGCTGTAGCCGCCATGGCCTACGGCACCGAGAGCATCACCAAGGTCGACAAGATCCTTGGTCCAGGTAACCAGTTCGTGACGGCCGCAAAGATGTTCGTGTCCAACGATACCTCCGCAGGCGTCAGTATCGACATGCCCGCCGGTCCCAGTGAAGTCCTCGTGATCGCCGACAAGACCGCCAATCCGGCCTTTGTTGCATCCGACTTACTCAGCCAGGCCGAGCACGGCGTCGACTCACAGGTGATCCTCATCGCTGTCGACCTGAACGAGGCCGAGCTGAGTGCAATTGAAGATGAAGTCGATGCCCAGGCCAAGGCCCTGCCTCGCATGGATATCGTCCGCGGCTCCCTTGCGCACTCCGTCACCTTTGTCGTGCGCGATATCAACGAGGCCATGACCCTCAGCAACGACTACGCGCCCGAGCACCTGATCCTGCAGGTCCAGGACGCCGAGTCTCTTGTCAAGGATGTCCAGAATGCCGGTAGTGTCTTCATCGGCGCCTGGACCCCCGAGAGTGTTGGCGATTACTCCGCCGGAGTCAACCACTCGCTGCGTAAGTCTCTCTCTGCAACGACTTTTCCTATATCCTCTTTGATTCATGCTAACATCTCCTTTTACAGCTACCTACGGCTATGCCAAGCAGTACTCGGGTGTCAACCTCGGCTCCTTCCTGAAGCACATCACCAGCTCGAACCTGACCGCCGATGGCCTGCTCGGTCTCGCCAAGACGGTTGAGACCCTCGCCGCTGTGGAGGGCCTGGAGGCACACAAGCGTGCCGTGAGCATTCGTGTTGCTCACATGAAGAACCAGTCATAGGTTAGACCATATATAGATTTTCTCTCTTTTCGGGTTTTATGAAGGGATGTGCCATGAACAGAAGTACATATAAAAAGCAACTCGGTTACCAATGAATTGATGTGCAATTGAAGATTTTGCAAAGTAAATTAATTAAATTAATTCCGGCGGATCAACATCCCACTTATCTGATCCCCCAATGACGTTATGCTCCACTCGAGATTTCTGTCTACAATGAAGATGAAAAAGATGAAAAGATGAAAAGATGAAAAGATGAAAGTAGAACAAGGATATGATCAAATTAAAACCAGACGCCCCTAGCATAATTTTGTATGAAACCCCTCAAAAAAAATCCCAAAATCTCAGAGAAACCCAATGCAAGACCCAATCACCCCACTTTCGTCATGAAAAATTGAAAAGCCCACACTCGTTAAGTAGTTATGTCTCAAAGCTGCGCAACATCATTCAGAATCTGAACCTCCTGGCCAGGCTTAAAGGCAGGAAGACCCATGTAAGGACAGCCGTCACAGCGGAAGGCATCACCCAGAGCACAGCTTCCACAAGAACCGGTCTTGCCCTCAACGGTGAAGTCCAGCTCGGCCAAGTCGCCCGTATCCAGCTTCATCACGTTCAATTCTTTATCTGCGTTTGCGCGACGCTCTTTATCCTCTGCTTCAAGCTTGTCGGCTAGACCACAGGTACAATCTTTGCAGGCGCGTCGCCGACGGCCGGTCTTGGGTTGGCACTCTGGGGCTGCAAATGGTGTTAGATCATATAGGTCTTGTAATGACAATACTTGGAAGGGAGTGACATACGCGGCATTATAGGTCTTGTTAAATCCTCCTCGGAGAGAAGCGTATCTTCATTAATGAGCTCGTCATCATCGTCGCGGTCGTGATTAGTTGGCGCGTCAATCCCCATCGGCGCGGCGAATCCTGTGGGAATACTAGGGACTGCGGTTGGCGCGGTTGGCGCGCTAGCCTTATTCTTCTTCTTCAGACCGAACTTTAAAGGGACAGCGGCGGAGGGATCGAAGTTTGGTTTCTCGAAGCCGTTATCGGACTGCACGAGGCCAGCCAGAATAGCTTCCATGGCTTCGGAGGCATTTAGGGCGGAGTCTTGGGTTTGCAGCTTGGCGCCCGCCTTCATGGCAGGGACTAAAGTGGCGTATACATCTCGGGTGAGAAGTTGCAGCGCCTCGGAGCGCCGTGCGCCGTCTGTGTCGGTGAGAATGAGGACAAGGTCGTAGGTTGATGCGGGGAGGGAGACGACTCTTGAAGAGAGCCGGTCGAGCATTTGTAGGTCTGTGGTTGAGCGGTCGAAGGTGCTAAATAGGCCGCGGAGTTTATCCTCTTGAGTGGCGATGGAGGGGGGTGCCAGTAGGAGGGTGCGCTTGACCTGGACTGGCTTCGAGGAGAAATCCACGTCCATATCGTTTGCGTCAACGGTCACGAATGAAGGAGCCATTGTTAATTGTACCTTTTTTTTTTTGCGAGGTACTACGAAGAAAAGAAGAATTCAGAAGATAACCTCGTTGGAGGGGTGGCAAATGATTATTAAGCCTTGTGGATTTCCGCGGACGATTAGGGAGATTGTCCTATCAGCGATGGTGTGATTACTTGAATGACTCTTAAGTAACTATGTTTTTATCTTTTGAAGACATTAGCAATTGTCGTAATAAGGAGTATCTTGGTATAGGAATAACACACTTTGGCTCTATCATATTATTCCAACTCTTCCTAGGCAATCGCGCCCACCTACGCATATGGGGGATAGCGGGCTTGATCTAAATTTCATTTCCTCTAACTAGTTATCTTTTCAGCTATTAATGCCTTTCGTAATCTAAATTAGGACTCTTTCGAACTATAAAACCTTGAAGGGATGTGTCTAAACCCGAAATATTAAGTAGAAATAATAAGCCCTAACTAATTAGTTTACCAATTTTACCTCATGTTGAGGGGGGCTTCTTTGTAGACAGTTGAATGCGCATCGGCTCCCAAATTAGAAGCGCAAGGAGAAAAAGTTGGATGGTTTTATACTAACAAATATATTGTGAAGCCGATACTCTATGGTTTCGAGGATTGTCTCTGGCTCTGTTATAGATTCAAAAATCAAGACCTACCCTCGAAACTCCTCAGATTTTCGACTAACGGCGAGATGATCAGTTGAAATATCTCATCTTGCATCTGCTCGCTTTCCAGTATAGTTTCTTTGGTGCCAGACCAGAGCAGACATCGTCTCGCTACCTGTTCGTATTCTGCACCGCTTTGCTCCCCCACAAATTGCAAGAGGCAAGTTGCAGTCTTTAAATTCTGAAATACCTCCACGCGATCGTCATCGTCCGGTATACGTAGTGCCTCTAGTGCCCAGCATAAAGAGAGTTCGACCAAAACGAGGCCCAAGGGAAACAGAATCTCGCTCTGAATGAGTGAGAACATTAGTTTACCTTTACACAGGCTCTAGGCATCCAATTCACTGCCTACGTTCCAAAGCACGTATGGCTTATCAATATCCCAAGATGAATTCTTAGTAAACATAATATCGCGTGAGCTCCATTGGCTTTTTAGCCAGCGTCCGTGAAATTGAAGCACGCTGCAGGCGAGATTAACTGCCACGCGGAGACGGTGGCCCCAGGTGAAATGAAAGCTGCCATGATGCGCTTTAAAGATATCACTTGAGGCCGTGGTGAGCTCAGCGAGGGATTGCGATCTCATATTTCCGGCCAGCTTCTGCACATAATACACATTGTGGCGGTGGTTTTCATCAGAGATAAACCCAAGAAGTTCATTTGTCTCGCCATGGCTCCCCAGAGTAGACAACGTCGAACAGATGTCCACAATCGGAGGCACCGAAGACATATCAGACATTATGGATGATTCATCGAGTGCAAACTGCGCTTTGGCCTTCTTTTTCAGGGAGAGAACTTTCTCTTAACTCCCCAAAGGATTCACGCTCGACTGGATAGTATCCGATACGGCCTCAATCTTGCACCATCCATTAGCAAAATTTATGGAGCTACTAGAAGGGAAAATCATTCGAAATCGAGGGCCACGAGAGGGCTTATTAGCATCATTTATGTCCTCCGGTGGATAACTAAGAACAAAATGGATTGAGTGTTGATCCAGGCAAGCGCATTTCCAATATTTGCCCGTATTATTGCATTATGCAGACTGTGAGCTAGTTTCTGTGCTCTTTTCTGGTGCAATAGGGGTCGTTTTGATGTTCTCCGTTTTTGTATTGTGCTTCGATAATCGGACTGCTCCACTAAGGTATTCAGGGCTTTGTTGGCTGCGTCAATACGAGCGAAGAGATCGAGGTAGATGCTTTTCGAGAAAATGTCTTTGGATTTTTTTGATCTCCCTCTTGATAGCAGACTGGTCGACTCGATAATTCTGCAGCATGATCAAGGTGCTGGTTAGCCCTAGAGGTGAATACTAAAGTATGTAATCGTCACTCACCACCGCAACATTCTTGTCCAATCCTAATTTTCGTGACAATTCCTCTAATAGAGTCGCAATCTCTATCATCCTCTGGTCGAAGGGGTAGAAATCTCCCGTTGGGGCGCTGCGGCTGGAAGCTGCGAAGGTAGTTGGAGCTGCTTTTCGAGCTTTGTTGTGTTATTGTATAAGGGAGAGCAGCTGATAGACAACCAAACGTGCAAAGCAATGGGGATCAAGCAACACTCAGAAGTGCTATGTATCGTCCGCCAAACAGACCCTAGTCAAATGAGGAACTCTTCTGATTATGAAAGAGGCCATGAGAGTCATCCGCCTCACGTCCAATCCAAAATTATGGTCAATAAGAGCAAGGAGACCAATCAAAGTTCTCCTGTTCGCGGTGAAACTGAACCCGTATCATTGCCCTTTGTCGCATCACGACACACATCGCCCGCTCCACCTAGCAGCTCACTCCCGTTTCCGCCGGTACTGGAAACACTGGGTACAGCGATGGAGCAAGTGTCTGCCTTGACTGTGTGGTCGGAGCGTGTTATCATCCCAATTTGTGATAATTACGTGGGTCACCCGCCGGCCGATATCAAGAGGCGTGATTTCGAACATAACAAGCTGAGGGAGGCGATCGTTGCAGTGTTGGGCAAAGCGGATGGAATTGATCCAGGCGGCGATGTGACTGCACGCAATGCCCGCAAGTCCCTCATCAAACAATTGGAACATGCTTTAATTCGGGTGGATGAGGCCGCAATAGTATAGCTATATCGTTCATGTCCGGGATTCCCGTCTTCTGTGAGTTTGTAAGTACAGAATTGGACCCTTTGTGAGATCTGTGGTATTTATCACTGAAAGTGAAACCAGTTTTGATATTATTTCAACAACTACATCCAATTTAGGAGCAACACCACACTACTTTATATGGTTAAATCTACCGGTAGATCAGTCTTACAGCTATCGCCTGACACAAGGCTCTTGATGTTAGCGAGCCTTTTCAGGAGTCGATGGCCAAGACTGAAGTGGGTTCCTTGAATGCTACTGTATGCGCCGGACTGCCTCTATGGTGGTTGGTATCAATATGTACAAAAAAGATGATAGCGAGTCATCACTCATAAACTCCGTCGAAAACCAAAACACTCAGCGCTTGCGCTCACGGATCTTCCACTTGATTCCGTCCTTGTTGGTGCCTCCCACGGAATTTTCCATCTTGGCCCGCTGCCAGTCAAGCTCTTGCTCTGCGGTCCGGATTTCGGCGTGTTGCTTGTGCAAGGCAGTCAGCTTGTTCTTACGAGCCTCGATGGTTCGTTTCCGGAGCTTGCGGGCCCGTCGAGCATCCGCAAGAGCTTGCCGCTCAGCCTGAAGCTGCTTTGGTGTTTTGCGGGTCTTGCTTGACGTCTGATCTTCCTCCTCTGAATCCGAAGCAGGTTCTTCTTTTTGTATCCTCTGCTTCTTCATTGCCAATTGATCTTGTCGATCCTCGGCAAACACCATCCTGGTTGGTTTCGGTTGCACCGGGGCTCCGAAATCGAAATCGGAGTCGTCGTCGAACCCGTCATCCTCTTCATCGCTCTCCTCTTCGTTCTTCCCGTCCTTTTTGCCAAGAGCCTTGTTCATACCATCTTGCAATTCCACTTCGCGCTCCAGGCGCTCGATCTCGCGGCGCACCCGCTCGCCAACTGTCCGAAGATAGCCTTTATCTTGCGTCTTGAGCAGCTTGATTGCCTCGTGACTGAGTCCCTGCGCTGCGGCAGAGTCTCGTGCTGTTCCCTTGCCACGTCCGTGCCGACCCTGGGTTCGGTTCTTTTCTCCCATCATACCGAAGGCGAATTCATCGGGGTTGCGATCCCGCACCTTCTCTTCGAGGCGCTTCAGCTTAGCCTTCTTGGCATTGTAATCTTTGGCACGGAGCGAGTAATCCTATCGAAGTTAACACGTTTGTCGTAAAATTAGCATAAAAGAAAGCTTGGGTTATTGGTAAACATTCCAAGAGTTCTTCCACATGAACTGACCTTGTGCTTCTCGAGGAGACCCCATTTCTCGCGGCCCTGAACCTGGCCACGCTCTTTATGGTTCCGCCGTTGGACGGCGTTGCGCATGGACGACATGCTGAGTTTTGGTGTTGATAATTCCCAATACAAGAAGTCTAGTACGAGAAGTTGTAGAAGGAAGAAAAAAATAGAAAACCAAAAAAAAGCGTAGAAGTCTCCGGCAGAAGAGTGTAGTCTGGAGATGCAAAGTCGGAGAACTTTTTTTTCTGATTCTGCCAATAGTAACTTTCTCTCCGCCCGAGCTCGGCTCACTCGCAATCAACACTACCACTTGGTCTCGATCTTCTCTACAAAGCCATTCAGTAGAACCCTCCTGAAACCACTTCTGCCTCTCTTGTTTGCTTTTCCGAGCTTTGGAGCAGCACAGCTTACATCTTGTCCCTCAACAACCGGGACCAATCGCCCTCCAAAGCCAACTATCCGATCGAACTATCCCATACATTCAACCTGGTCAACTTCGATCTCAAAGATCGACATACAGTCCCAATGGCTACATCTTCCACATCTCCCGATACCTCTTCAACAAGTGTACCTAATAGTACACCGAAACAATATAATCTTCGCAACCCGCTTCCGCTCTCAGCCCCTCAGGAGCAAGAAGTGAAACTGCTGTACTACAAGCGAGTACGCGCCCATTGCGCTCCCGAAATTAAAGGTATGCAATTTAAATCGCTTTTTACGCTAAATACATCACCTCCTTTGAACTAATGCATAGCTTTGAACTTGCAAAAGCTGGTCATGAGTTTCAATCGGAGGAGCAAGTCTGACTCTCATGACCATGATCCACTCCCCACACCTCAAAGATGCCTGAAACATCCTACTAACCCAATGATGATATAGCATTCGCCGAGTGCGCCGTTAACCGTACCGTCACTGCAACATGGGTCTGCCGCCAGCAACGTCTCGCAATGAATTCATGCATGCTTGCCCACGCGAAGCCGGAAGAAGAGGACCGCGCACGCGAGGAGTGGTTCGCGGGGTATGAGGAACGGCGACGCGTGCGCGAGGAGGATCTTGCACGTGTTGAGAAGCGCCGTGCGGAAGTCATTCGCATGATGCGCGAGGATGAAGCGCGGACGCGAGCAGCTGGGAAATGATCGGGGATTTTCCTTTCCACTCCATGTATCCCTCCCTCTCTCGCTCTTTTCATTTCTTGTGTGAGTATTTCTTGTCTATATGGGTTTCGGCGTCCTGAGTATTCTGCTTCTTGCGTTTCTCCGAGGTTAGAGGGCGAGGACTTTGTCTTTGGGCTAAGCGTTTGGGGGAAGGGAGCTGTTGGGCTCTTGCCTGACCTAACTGCCTTATTGGCCGAGCCTTGTATGTCCAAAGGTACCAGGCCCTTACTTCACAGTCCCGGCGACCCAGCCTAGTCGTCTTCCCGCTCTCAGTTTGATGGACAGATATCAGACTGGTTCCCGCCGGGCAGATTGGCCTTAGACTTTCTTGGCCAACCCAAACTCGGACTTTTTTATCGTTTTTTTTCTCTCTCTCCTCACGGCGCACAAAGGCAAACAAAGCAGGCGTTTTGCTGGGCATCTTTATTACATTGCATGATCATCCCGAATGCGGAGCGATGGGACGAACTGAATTATGTACAATATACACGCAGACAATTGCAAATCTTGGTTAAATTGACCAGGATGTCTTCTTTACGGGTTTATTTGCCTTTATTGTCAGGCGATGGGACTTTGACCCAAATTTGTAGACACAAATCATGAAATAGATGCTTTCCATGATAGTAAAAACCAGGACCCCGTCCCATGACAGATTAGAGAGAAAGAGGAGAATGATAACACCAAGCGCCAGAAACACCACCAGCCCAAGCCCAACGGCAGAAGAACCCCCGGGCGTAAATGCACTCCCTTAAACATCAGTCATGTTCCGATCCTCATCTCCATCGCCTGCCTCGCCCATAGTGGTATCTTCGCCGAAGATATCCTCCATCTGCCCATCATTATCATCCTCATCTTCATTATCTTCCGCTCCATCACCACCGGCACCCTTCCCAACCCCAGGCTGCTGCATCACATCAGGCAGATCATCTTCCTCGCCCTCACTATCCCACTCATCCTTCATATTCCACCCCATTCCAGTAAGACAGAAGCGCTCAGGAGGCAAGCGCATGCCACCAATGACAACACTCTGATTCGCCGCAGGAACAGCACCATTAGCGCCAGCAGCAGAATCAAAGCCCCGTGATACACCAGGCAAAGCGATACGATTCCTTTCCGACGCGACCTCCATTAGGAACTCCTTCGGCAGACCTGTCTGGAACTGAAAGTGCAAGCGGGAGGCAATGGCGAGCCGCAATGCGGGCAGAGAAACACTATTCACTTCTCCGGAGCCCTTTGCGCCCGGAGTACCGTCTGTTGCTGCGGCATATCCTTCCGTCGCGAGATGCACGGAGTCTTGTAGCACATTGGCGGTGTAACGGTAGGCGAAGTCGAGCAATTGGAGAGGTACCCGGTCTTGGTAAGAAGTTACCCCGAGTGAGGCGAGGAGCATGTGGACCAGCCGCACGTCCCGTGGTCGTCGCGTTTTTCCGCTGTCTTGGGTTGATATGCCGGGCACTGGTGGTGGTTGTGGCATTGTTGTTGAAGGGCCTGTCGCTGGAACATTGGGTTGGGTCTGGGAGCTTGTTGCGGCGGGCGCGGAGGCCCCGTTCGCGGCGGAGGATGATTCGGCGGGTGGAGTGAGAGGTTGTGTTGTGGGTGCTGGGCCCTGTGTTTGGGCTGGGGATGCCATTTTGTCTTGAATTGCTGATCAAAGATCAAGCAGGACGCGAAGAGCGAATTGCGATGTTGCGAAAGCGGTCAAGATGTTGAATTAAATGATGATTAGAAGGCCATAGAAAGGAAATCAGGTAGCATTCCTAGCACGATTCTCAGAGGCTAGGAAACAGCCAAAGATGCGATCAGTGTTCAGTGTGGGGATGGAGAGAGAGAAACTGATGGCTAAATGAAGCCGAAAAGAAGCATGAGCTCCAGGGCTCCGGCCAATATCTCGATTAGGTAATCGCGGTGTCTGCCGGTCCACGGTCATGCCCTGGATCTTGTTACATTCTATTTTACTAATTCCCAGTTAATTTACTAGGTCATTCAGTATGTTTGCGCAAGTCTATTCACTTGTTTAATTCATTACATACTATTCATCTCATGACCCTGTTCAACCCACCAAGTATGTGCGCCATGAATGTACAAAAATAAAACCAGAAACGCCATGATCACCATGAATGCCATGAATTAGAGATAGTTGGGCACAAATGGCCGTGTATAATGCAGTCTCGAACTCCAGGCCTGCATGCAATAGTGTTGAACGTAAATAGATCGCTGGCCAGAGCAGTCTAATGCAGAATCTGACTCGGGAAAGCACTCGCAAGATGGGTATCTATGACGCAAGAAATGCCCAGGGATCGATCCCTTATGAAAGAGGCATAGCGATGAGCGTATGTTCAAAGATTCTGGGGTACCTTGGACCGGATGGGAAGAGAGGTTGTGCTTGGCTCGGCTGCTTCTTGTGATTTCTCGGCGATGGGAGAGAGTTCCTCTTCACCAATAGCCCCCTCTTCGACAATGAGATCCCCTTCCACCGACTCAATTATTGAGCCTGCTGGGTCGGACAAGGCAACCGAGTCCTGCGACATGTAGCTTGCGCCGAGATCCTCCTCGGCCAACTCAACCTCGTCGAGGTACTCGCTGCCTTCACCCTCACTCA